ATTTTTTATCTTAAAATCAATTTTATACACCATAATTTTTGTTTCTATAACGTGTGAATATATCCCCTATCGTATTCTACAACAAAAACAATCAGAGCGCCTTGTTATCACTTGTTTTATTTTGATTTCCTGAGTCCGCTATTAGCTTATAGCCCATAAGCATCGCCAGCGTGGTTGCCGCTAATCTCGCTTACATTGCTAATACTCTATTCACACACATTACCATTGTTTTACTCACTGTTACTTGCTTTAATGGCGGATGCGTGTCTACCTTTGAGTGCAGGTGAGGACACGTTCGAGCTGCATTTGGTGCAGGTCGAGCTGGAGGCCGTGGAGAAGCAGATCCGCGACCTGGTGGAGAGGCAGGCCCAGCTGAGAGAGCAGAGAGCCGCACTGGAAACATCCCGGGCTGACGCTCACAAGTCCGGGGTAAGTATACAGCGCGCTGCTAACTCTCCCACCACCTCTACTCCGTGTGTTTCTCTGCACAGGCCCGGTGCACCCAGGACGCGATCTTCCCAAATGTCCTACACTCCGGCGCCGGGACACCACGGACCCTGGGTGCACCCGCAGCGGAAGACGCGAGCCAGGCCCCGGGCGACGACCTCTCCCCTTCCGCCACCTCCGGTCTTCGAGATCTCCACCCGGAACCGCTTCGCTCCCCTCCACGAGACGGAACGCGATGCTGTGGTCGTCGGAGACTCCATCGTCCAGCACATCCATGCTACGATAGCTGAAGGTACAGTGCACACCCACTGTTTCCCTGGTGCTCGTGTTCTCGATGTTTCTGCGCAGATACCCGCGATCCTGAAGGGCGACGAGAGCCCCGGAGCGCACTTAAATGATAGAAGTACTTGCGCTGTCCAATCTATAAATATAAATCTATAAATCCAATTTGTGTCTGTTCCCCGAATAGTCAGGTTAAAATATAAATTTAATGCACGATCTAGGAAAAATCTGATTGTGATTAAACCAGAAAAATGTAAAATAAATGAACAAAAACAATTTTTAAAGTTTGGGCTCCTAAACATTAGATCACTCTCACCCAAAGCAGTTATTGTAAATGAAATTATCACAGATAATCGTTTTGATGTACTCTGCTTGACTGAAACCTGGCTAAAACCTAATGATTATATTGGTCTAAATGAGTCTACTCCACCAAGCTACTGTTATAAGCATGAGCCCCGTCAGACTGGTCGCGGCGGCGGTGTTGCAACAATATATAGTGATATTTTCGATGTCACTCAGAAGACAGGATACAGGTTTAACTCATTTGAAATACTTCTGCTTAATGTCACTTAATGTTAATACACTGTCAGATATGCAAAAGAAATCTATCATATCTCTTGTTCTGGCTAATACATTAGAAGCTTTTGCCCCATCAAATTGAAAAAGGTTAGAGAAAAACGTACTGCGCCATGGTACAACAGTAATACCCATTCTCTCAAGAAAAACCTCACAGTTTAATAGTAATGACTTTATGAATTTCTTAATTCATAAAATAAAATAGATAACATCAGAAATCAGAAATACAATGTAGATTCTACAGCGTATAATACTTCAGCTTCCTTCATCACACCAAAAGATAAACTGCAAACTGCTACAACTATAGGACAGGAAGAGCTAAATAAACTTATCACTGCATTCGCCGGCCAACGAGTTGGTGTTTTTTCAATGTATGCTTCAGACACGGGTCACGACGAGGCGTTCCCCATAGCGAGCCCTAGAGGACGCAGTTCAAAGTTCCCATGAAAGGGAACCGCTTCTCAATATTATTAACTCGTCGTTATCTTTAGTTCATGTCCCAAAACCATTTAAGCTGGCGGTTATTAAGCCTCTTATTAAGAAACCACAACTAGATCCTAATGAACTGGCAAATTACAGATCCATTTCACCCATCTCATTTATGTCTAAAATTTTAGAAAAAGTTGTGTCTGCTCAATTGTGCTCCTTCCTGCAAAAACTGCAAAAAAATGAAGAATTTCAGTCAGGTTTCAGGCCCCACCATAGCAC